TTTCTCTAGTTCTATGAGGAATGCTGCGGGTATTTTGATTGGGATTGCATTAAATCTATATATCTTTTGTTTGTTTGTTTTTTTTGGTACCGGGGATCAAACTCAGGTCCTTGCGCTTGCGAGGCAGGTGACAGAGCCACTGAGCTAAATCCCTGGCCCCATATATCATTTTTGGTAGTATGGCCATTTTGACAATATTACTTTGCCTGTCTAGGAACTAGGGATAGCTTTCTGTTTGTTTGTTTGTTTGTTTTTTGAGACAGGGCCTCAATATGTAGTTCAGGTTGGCCTTGAATTCATTATGTACCTCAAGCTAACCTCATATTCACAGCAATCCTCCTGCCTCAGCTCCCTGCTAGTAGATTACACTCCTGCACCACCACACCTGGCCTCCTTTTCATATTATTACTGGCATTCAGGGACTCTTTTGTGAAATGTCTATTGAATGCTGCATATTTTTCTATTGAGGAAAGTTTATCACCATCAGACCTGTCTTAAAAGAAATGCTAATGGGATCTCTTTAAGCTGAAAGAAAAGGATGTTAAGCAACATGACGAGTAAGAAAGTATAAAACTGACTGGTAAGTCAATACACAGTCCAATTCAGAATATCCTAATATTATTATGGAGGTATGTAAATCACTTATGTCTTTAGTACAAAGGTTAAAAGACAAAAATATCTAAAATTATAATAGAAATAATAATTTGTTAAGTGGTGCACAATATTGATACGGAAAAGTTTTAGATAACTTAATAGATTGAATATTAAGGTAATTGTAGAAGCAAAATAAGTAATGTGTTCTTTTAAGATTTGCTTTTCCCATAACTCCTTGTTTAAGGTGAGGATTATCTGATTCTAACCCGTAACTTCATTAACCTAACAAAGTTACCATGCCAGTGTGAATTTACAATGTATATGGCCTATCTTGTGTCTGTGATTTGTACATAGGAACTGGAATTGTATTTACATATCAAGGACCACTAGGGATGAGATAATGGCTAAAAAGGATATAAAAAGGGAAACGCTGAACAAAGGGGGAGATACTGACCAGACTGGTTTCTGGCGTTCCCGCCCGCTTGCGAGAAGAAATTTTATTATTTTATCCGAATTCTGTGTCTCTGTGTATTTCTCTCCGAGATTTCCGCAACAGTATAAGACAATGAAACAGTGACATCATAAATAAAATGTAATGGAGGTGAAGTAAAAGTGTGGAGTTCCTTAATACAATCGAATTTGCTATCTGCTTAAAATACCTCTTACGTCTTTTTGTATGTAGACCTCATGGTAGCCACAAAACAAAAACCCAGGGTAAGTGTAAAAAAATATATAAAAAGTAAGAAATCAAAGGATGCCACTAGAGAAAACCAGCAATTCAGAGAGGAAGATGGTGAGAAAGCATGGATCAAAAGACTTACAAAAAAATAACAGAATGACAGTAAGTCCACAAGCAGAAGGATCTGAGTTCAATCGCCGGTCCAAAAAAAAAAGAATAATAAGTCCCTACCTATCTGTTAGGGTAAACCGAGGCATGATCCAGACCACAGTAGGCAAAAATGAAGCAATAAACCAGGTTTTATTTTCAGCCTGGGTGCAGGCTGGTCAAGGGCAACAAAGCCGTTGACCCTGGGAGCTTGGGCAAGGGGAAACTTTACAGGGGAGTTTGGGTAGGGGAGGGGTAGTGCCAGGAGGATTGAGAAATTTTGCCTTGGTGTGAAGGAATTCTTTTGTTCTGGGGCAGAGGAAGTCTTGTGGTCTCAAGGGGTATCTGTACCGGCGGATGTTGCTGAGTGGGGCAAGCTGTTTATCTCAAACCTGGTCCTTGGCTTTCTGTTATCCTTTGCGTCTTGCAGGATGTGTAACTGCGGTGCCTGGGAAGTGTTTTCTCTTCTGGGCAGGGGTCTGACACTATCAATGATTACCCTGAGCGTAAATGGACTAAGTTCTCCAATCAAAAGGCACTGAGTAGCTGAATGGATTTTTTTTAAAAAGACCCAACTACGTGCTGCCTACAAGAGACTAAGATTACCTTTAAGAGAACACACAAATTGAAAGTGAAAAGATGAGGAAAATAGTCCATGTAAAGAGAAAACCAAGAGAGTAAGGGTAGCCATATTTATTAAGAAAAAAAATGATCTTTAAGTTTAGAAGGCTAAAAAGAAGCCAGGAGACCAAAATAGTGGAGTAGAGATCAGCAGGAAAATAGAGGTGTTCCAGGACCTGGAATTGAAACATCTGAAAAACAATTTGGAGAAGAAAAAGAAAGTAGACCTCCAGGAATTGGGAGAGCTGACAGGAAAACTAGAAATTAAAGAGAAGATGGAGAAACAGAGCATCGTGTAGAGCAAAGAACAAAGCAGTCTGGAAAGCTCGCAGGGAGGGGAAACCTATCTCCACTGACACAAGGGAAGCCTAGAGAGGGCTGGCAGCTTTAGAAAGAAATAACCAATTGGCCCACCACCACTAGTCCCAAGAAAAGCTCATGGCCATTATAAACTGCAAAAATGTGACAGTTTACTCTGAAAGTGCCACAAGGAAGAATAGAGTCAGAGAAGAAATCCAGTGTGTGCCTGCCATATTTGCGAGGGTTTAATCAGGAGCCATTTTGAGAAGGGGTTAATTGTTTTAAGACTGAACCACTGAACAACTACAGAATATGCCTCAGAGTTTCTGGTGTCACTCTATCACAGTGGCTGGGTGGGAGATGGCCATAAGAGACAGTCATGGAGAGGGTGCAGGCTAGATAGACCTCCTGAGAAGTTGGAGCTCAGGTCAGGAAGGATGCAGGGGGCCCTGCCCTCCATGGTGAGAAGTCAGATTGGATATGCACAGTTTCCAGAGAGGGCTAGGTATGAAAGTGCTGGTATTAAGTCCAGCAGACTGCCTGACAATCCCACCCCTTCCCCACTGCTTACATCAGCACAGAATTCAATTTTCTGTTTCTTTTCCCCATCCACCAATGTGAATAAGACTACAGCTCTGCTTGGATGGTTGCCACAGCCTGCACCATAGAGACAGAGGGGACTCTGGGATAGGAGGACACCTCACAAACCCACGGGCAGTAAAACTAGGCAGGGAAAACTATCACTTGGGATGACCAGAGGGACATAGAAAGTGGAGTTGCCAGAGTGACTAGGGCCATAGGGTGGGACACCATCTTCTGACCATGCCCAGTGGGAAAGGCGGGGCAGGATTCAGCATCCGCACACAAAAATCTGAGTCTTAGCAGTGACTCACTATCCTTCCCCCAAAACTTCTGAATTCCGAAACTGTAGACCTTGGAAAGAAACTATTCATTCAAAAACAGAAGAATTTTTTGTAGACTCATTTTTCCCCCTATTGGTTCTTTGGGGTTTGGGTTTTTTTCTCTCTCATGTTTTCTTTTTTTCCCTTTATTTTGCTCTCTGTTTTTTTGTTTTTCTTTTTCTCATGTGTGCTTTTCTGTTACTTTTATCTAATACTATTAATTCCCTGAATAGGATCCCTTATCTCACTTTTCCCTCTTATTTTTCTTTTTGTTATGTTTCAAATCTTCCTTCTTTCATTCTGTTCCCCATTCCTCTAACTTCACTAGTATAACCTTAAAGTTTCATTAATCTTTAGATATTTAACTGTATGCTATTACTGTTGAATTCTTTTCTAATGTTAGTGGAGGTATAGTTTTTGCATTTAGTGGATATTTACTTTATGTCAATATTTGGTGTGTCTTTGTGTTTACACTATAATTATAGATCTCTTTTCTATGATTAAGGGTGGTACATTATTGGTTCTTACAGTATAGAAATATGCAGTTTGCCTTTGTGTCATTAACAATACTGCAGTCCATTCCCACTGAAATGAGTGATGGGCTAATTACATTGCATCTTCCCTTTCCAAATCAATTGAGGTTGGGCCGGGGATTTAGCTCAGCGGTTCCCTTGCCTGCCTCGAAAGCGAAAGCGCAAGGTCCTGAGTTTGATCCCTGGTACCAAAACAAAAACAAAAACAGAAACAAAAACACCAAGTTAATGGAGGTGGTTGGATTAAAAAAAGAAAGAAAAGAAAAGAAGAAACATGAGAAGATAAGTCAATAAAATGAATTCCCAAACTCCCAATTCTCTCAAAGCTGATCCATGGGGTATCTATGGGGAGGAAAGCAAAAACCACACAGCCAAATTATCTGAAATGAAAAAAGAGGAGATAAAAAACAGATCAATAAAGTGCACAGTAAGCTCAAAAAGATATAACTAAACAGATAATAGACTTAATAAACAAAATGATCAGTGAGCTTACAGAATACATTATTAAAAAGCTAGCTGAGGTAAACAAAATGATACAAAACATGCATGATCAGTTTAAGAAAGAACTGGAGTCCATGAAAATATACCAAACAGAAATTGAGGCATTTAAAAATTCTCTTGAAAGTATGGGCAAAAGAAGTGATCAACGTGAGGACAGTGTCAGATAAAGGGGAGGCTAAAGATAGTGTTGATGCCAGTGACCGTATACTTAGTTACCTTAAAAAATAAATAAGAGAACATAGAAAACTGATCCAACAGCTGCTAGATGATGCAAAGACTAATCTTAAGATTAACTAGAATTAGTGAAAAGTCAGAAGACAGCCCCCAAAGAATAAAAAACCTGATAACAGAAATACTGCCAGAATACTTTCCAAATATGGGGAAAGAATTTAACATACAGATAAGTGAATCATATACAACCCAAAGAGTCACGATAAGAAAAGATGTTTCCCACAACATCATAGTCAAAATCCCAGAAGTCCAGCACAAGGACAGAAACTTAAAAGCTGTTAGGAAAAAGCAATAAATCACTTATAAAAGTAAACCCAGAGTTGCAACACTGCCGCCCCCAGGCAGTGAGCAGAGCTGACAGGGCAGAGGGGGTGCTGGGGGACTCTGGGAGCCTTGCGGGTTTCTCGGACTGGGCTGGCATCTGCGAGTACAGTGGCGGCTGAACAGCTCCGCTTCAGGGATTTACACAGACTCAGAGCAATACTTGTGACTCTGCGGCTCCTCAAGGTCTCTAGAAGCCTGTTTCTCGGCGCAGTCCGGGACCTCCAGCCCCATGGAGGCCCCGATTCCACAGAGCGTCCCTTTGACTCCCAACTCAATCATGGTGCAGCCCCTTCTGGACTGCCAGATGCCCCACAGCCGGCTCCAGCACCCTCTCACCATCCTGTCCATCGACCAGATGAAGACCAGCCACGCGGAGAATAACTACATAGACAACCCTGGCCTGACTCCCCCAACCGGCCCTAAGCAGACCCAGGGTGGGGCTCCAGAGCTGGCCCTGACACCGGCCCGCTGTTACCAGGATGTCACCCACCACTGGCTCTCCTTCAGAGGATGCCCCAGCTCTATGAGCAGCAGCAGTAGCACCTCCTCTGACCGGCGGCTCCTGGACCACACAGCCCCACCGCCTGTGGCTGAGCAGTCCTCGCCCAGGGCTGTGAGCCTTCAGCCTAAGCTGGTCCACTGTAAGCCACTAGACCTCAAGAGCCCAGAGGCCCCACCAGAGCTGGACAAGCACTTCTTGCTGTGCGAGGCCTGTGGGAAATGCAAATGTAAGGAGTGTGCGCCCCCCCAGCCGTTGCCTTCCTGCTGGGTCTGCAACCAGGAGTGCCTGTGCTCAGCCCAGACCCTGGTCAACTACGGCACATGCATGTGCCTGGTGCAGGGCATCTTCTACCATTGCACCAATGAGGACGATAAGAGCTCCTGTGCCGACCACCCCTGTTCCTGTTCCCCTTCCAACTGCTGGTCCTGCTGGTCTTTCATGGGTGCCCTCTCCATGGTGCTGCCCTGCCTGCTCTGCTACCTGCCCACCACCGGCTATGTGAAGCTGGCCCAGCGTGGCTACGACCGCCTGCACCGTCCTGGTTGCCGCTGCAAGCACACGAACAGTGTCATCTGCAAGGCAGTCAGTGGGGACGCCAAGGCCAGCAGACCCGACAAGCCTTTCTGACACTTTGGGTTGAACCCCAAGTGCTACCCCTAGAAACGAGGGTGCCTCCTGCCAGCCTCTGGAAGCTGACCTTGCTCATCTGTCATCTCCCTGCCCCTAGCTTGGGAAGAAACAGGCAGAGATCGCCACCACCCACTCTATTCCCCCCAAAGGAAGAAGAAACACTTTGGGGAATACTTAGGGTTTTGGAACTTTTGTCAAGCAGATGAGCAAGGTGTGGTCGGGGGGAAATTTTTTTTTTGTTGTTTTTTTTTTTTTGGTTTTTTTTGGTACCGGGGATCGAACTCGGGTCTTTGCGCTTGCGCAGCAGGCAGTGAAACCACTGAGCTAAATCCCCGGCCCGGGAATTTTTCAGAAGACAAAACAGATGTGGACACATACCCAGAAGATGCAGCTGCTCAATGCCCTGCCTAGTTCCTCCTTCTCTCTCTCTCCCTCCCATTTGGCCATTGTCTCTGGCTCTCTTGGGAGCTAGCTGCCTGGAAGGAATTGTTAACTGAATGCCTTCAGAGAAGAACTTGGAGTCCTGACTTCTGCTTTCTTCTCCTTCCCCACACCAGTTGGCCCAGGGATCTTGGGGAAGGTGGAGAATACCAGGGATCTCAACAGTGTATACTTTGAGTGCTGAGAACAGAGGACAGCCAAAGAGCCGAAGCCCGCCGGGAGCCACAGGATGGTTTAGGAGTCACTGTGCAATGCATTCCTCTCTCCCAACCTTGTCAGTAACTCTTGAGGGTGTTCCACTCATCTTACACCATCCTCCGCTCCAGTTCTTATGAGTTACAGACTCGCCTGCCTGCTATGTCCTGAGTTTTCACTCTACTCAGATCCTTTCCAGAAACTTGATGGGTAGAGAAGACCAGAATGGAAGATGCGAGACTAAATATCATTTTGCCAATGAGCCTGAGGATGTAGTCTCTTAATCCAGTCGTGATGTTTTTATAGAATAATTAAACCAGATGCTAACGGTGTTTTAAATAACAATAACAAAACAACTTGCTTCCTTTTGGGCCACCCCCAGGAAGGGCTGATTTCAAAATCTAGGGGCAAGCAACCCCAAGGAGCACAATTTCCCTGCCCACCAAGAAGAGGATTTTATCAGCAAAGAGGCAGCACCTCCCATTGGCAGAATGACAGTTGAGCCTCGCTGGGGTTGGGTTTCCTCTCTTCTGATTCTGCTGCTTGCTGTCATAGCCTTTTGTGTATAGTGATGTGATACGACTGTATCTGTATATAAATAGATGGCAAAAAGAGAGTCTATTTTAGTGTTAGGAAGCCCCAGTGGGGGAGTCAGAAGAGCTCAGAGAGGGTGGGGAAGATTCCCCAGGGGCCACTGTGAGTGAGCCCTGCTTTTGTGCACAGTGCAACTCTCTCCTGACAGTCCCCAAAGACATAGCAACTCTTTCTCCCAAGGTACTAAAGGACTCAGAAAGTGCAGCATGTCCAGTGGGTAGGTACTTGTTGCATGCAAAAGCTGCAGTGTTCTGGTCCTCCCCTCACCCCAGCTGTTTGGGGTTTTTGCTTTGTGTGGTATTTTGTCCCCTTCTCCCTCCACTAGAGGAAGTAGCCTGGGTCAGAAGAAAGGCCCCAGGTGACATTGGAAGAGCATTAGGCAGAGCATCTGTAGCATTTCCAGCTCATTCTGTGGAAACAGCTGCCTCCAGGAAGGAGGCAGGTAGCTGGAGTGGCCTGTATACCTGATACTTTCAAGGCCCACCTCCCTTCGGAAACTAGTAGCAACATCTTATGATTTAGAATAAGTTACTTATAACCATAGGTATTTATTGATTGGAGGAAGGGAGGGTCTTATTATTTTCGGCTTTATTTATGTAACATTTGCTGGCTTGTAAAAGGCAAGTATAAAATATTGCATCTTCAAAAAAATAAAAGTAAACCCATTAGAATTACAGCAGATTTCTTACCACAAATCTTAAAGGCCAGGAGAGCTTGAAGTGTTTCCAGTCCTAAAAGAAAACAACTTCCAACCCAGACTGATATATCCTATAAAACCATCTTTCAAAATTAATAGAGAAATAAAGACTTTCTATAACAAAGAGGGCCAGGGGTTTAGCTCAGTGGTTCTGCCACCTCCCTCATAACAGAGCACCTTAAGAAATTCATGACTACTAAACCAGCATTACAAACAAATTCTCAAGGATATTTTAGAAAGAGACAATGAAGCCAGGTGTGGTGGCCACACCTATAATACCAGCTCTCAGGAGGGTGAGGAAGGAGAATTGTTGTGAGTTCAAGGCCAGCCTAGGCAACATGGTGAGTTCAATGCCATCCTGAAATACATTATGAGACCTATCTCAGGGAGGGAGGGAGGGAGAGAGAAGAGGAGAGAGAGAGGGAGAGGGAGAGAAAGAAAGAGAGAGCAAGAGAGAATGATGCCAATGATGCCAAAAAATCTAATAGAATGAATACACCAGGCAAGGTGAGCAGTTAAGCAAAAGGAGAAAAAAATGGAATTAGCAATAGGAAAATAATGCAATGACTGGAATAAGTCAATACTTTTTAGTAATAAGTTGCAATGTGAATGGTCTCAATTCCATAATCAAAACACACAGACTGGCTGAATGGATCAAAAAACAAAACCCAACAATATGATGTATACAAGAAACACATTTAATCCAAAAAAAGAAATTCATAGGCTAAAAAGTCAAAGGATGGGAAACAACATCCCATGCAACAAAAACCTGAAAAAAAGCAGGAGTCACTATCCTATTTTCAGACAAAGTGGATTTCAAGCCAAAACTGATCAGAAGAGGCAAAGAAGGTCACTATGTAATGGTTAAAGGAAAATTTCAATAGGAAGAGATAACAGTTATAAACACATATGTACCAAACACCAGTGTTCCCAAATTCATGAAAGAAACATAACTGGACATAAAAGATCAGATAAACATGAGTGCAATTATAGTGGGAGACCTCAATACCTCACTTTCACAAAAAAGACAGATCAACTACACAAAAAATTAACAAAGAAATATCAAAGTTGAACCAACTCATAGAACAAATGGACTTAATAGACATCTACAAAGTGTTCTACCCAACAACAGAATACACATTCTTCTCAGCAGCACATGTAAATTTCTTCAAAGTATACTACACACTAGCCCATAAGGCATGCTTAATACAAAAAAACCCCAAATTATCCCATGAGTATTATCAGATCATAGTGCAATGAAACTAGAAACCAATGGCAAAAGAAACCACAGAAATTATACAAACACATGGAAATTAAACACTATGTTCTTGAATAATCAATGGGTCACAGGAGAAATTAGTTCCTAAAATCAAACAATAATGCTAGTACAACATACCAGAACCTATGGGACACAATGAAAACAGTTCTAAGAGGAAAAGTTTATAGCTGTGAATGCCCACATCAGAAAAACAGAGAAAGCCCAAATAAATAACCTAACAGTGCACCTCAAGGTCCTAGAAAAACAAGAACAATTCAAATCCAAAGCTAGTAACAAGGAAGGCAATTATAAAGATTAGAAAAGAAAGTAATGAAGGGCTGGGGATTTAGCTCAGTGGTTTCGCCACCTGCCTTGCAAGTGCAAGGACCTGAGTTCAATCCCCGGTACCAAAAAAAAAAAAAAAAGAAAAGAAAGTAATGAAATTTAGGCTTAAAAAAAAATACAAAGAATTAATGAATCAAAAAATTGGTTTCTCGTCTGCCTCGCAAGCGCAAGGTCCTGAATTCGATCCCTGGTACCAAAAAAAAAAAAAAAAAACGGATGATACTTTGGTTATTCTTTTGTAGAAACCAATTTTTTTTTGGTACCGGGGATTGAATTCGGGACCTTGAGCTTTTGAGGCAGGCGGCGGAACCACTGAGCTAAATCCCTGGCCCAAATAAGCAAAATAGACAACCCCCTAGCAGATCTTACCAAAAGAAGGAAAGAAAAGACCTAAACCAAAGCAATTAGAAATTAAGAATGTAAAATCATATGAACATTGCCAGAATCCAGAAGATTATAGAAACTACTTTGAAAAACTGTACTCCTATAAATTGCAGAATTCAGAAGAAATGGATTGATTCCTAGATATACATGAATTACCAAAACTGGAAATGAGGCAGAAATTCAGAAAAATACAAGCTTCTGCTCCAAGAATCTGCCTGACCCTGAGTGACTCTCCTCCTGACACCCCCTCTTCCTCAGGAATGTGACTCCATGTTCTTCCCAGGTAATGGAAGGGATAGTCTAGGCAGTCTATCTCTGGATGTCTCCTCCTTTGAGGAGATAGCAACCTATCCTGTGACTGACACAATTCACAGCTAAAGGCTGTAAACTAGTTTTATTACATCCTGACATCCTGGGAACATAGGGCACTGTTTCTCTTTAAGGCTAAGATAAGAAAGTGACTTGGGAATAAGTAACTGCCTCTATTTCTTGTTTCTGTAACTTGCTTGCTACATACCAAAGATTGTATATAAGGTACCTTCTTGTCTTTGTGCTTTGGCATAGCCATCTTAGGCACAGAGTTCGCTGAGCTGGTGTATAACCTTAAATAAAATTCTTCTGACTCCCATTTGGTCTCTCCTGTCTCTTGGAATTCTGCAACTAATCAAGCAGATATAAAAAACCTAAATAATCCAAGAACAGCCAATACAATTGGAAAAGTAATTTTAAAAATACCCTACCAGGGCCGGGGATTTTAGCTCAGTGGTTCCGGTGCCTGCATTGCAGGCACAAGGTCCAGAGTTCCATCCCTAATACCAAAAAACAAAACAAAACAAAACCCTACCATCTAAGAAAAATGCAGACTCAGTGGATTCACTGCTGAATTCTGTAAGGTCAGACCAAGGCACAATTGAGACCACCGAGGCAGGCAAAGTCTAAGCAACACGCAATGAGTTTATTGCCATCTGGGTGCAGATGGGCCAAGGGCGAGGAGGCTGTTGGCACTGAGAGGAGGGTGCTTGTGGTTAATATAGGGCATTTTAGGTAGGGGAGGAGGCACTGCTCAAGAGGGTGGAAAATGTTAGAGTCTCCTGGGTGAT